GACGGAAGCAGGTGCATTTCTATGGGTTCAAGGCCAGCCTGGTCTACAGAGGGAGTTCAAAACAGCCAGAGCTACACAAAAAAAACCCTGTCTTGAACGAGAGAGAGAGAGAGAGAGAGAGAGAGAGAGAGAGAGAGAGAGAGAGAGAGAGAGAGAGACCAGTTGGGGTTCTATCTCCTTCATTATTTGGCAATTTCATTTAGGTCACCTTCATATATGAGTATATTTAAGGAGGCTTCTACTGTATTAGGATTCCATACTACCCCTCAAATGGCCCTTAATTTTAGCTGTCTCTCCTCATATTCCCTCCCTTATTCCCTCTTCCCTCCTCCTTCCCATTTAATCTTCCCTTTCCAGCATCCTCCCCTGCCATCATCCCTTTCCTAGAGATATCTGTTTGTTCCCCTAGTCCCTTACCTAACCTCTGTGAGTCAATAGATTGTAGCTTATTTATCATTGATTTAACAGCCAATATCCACAGATAAACGAATACATACTATATTTGTCTTTCTAGGTCTGGGTTACCTCACTCAGGATGATTTTTTTCTAGTTCCGTCCATTTATCTGTGAGTTTCATGATTTAATTTTTTTAAACAGCTGAGTAATATTCCATTTTTTATTCATTCTTTTCTTGAGAGACTTCTAGGTTGTTTCCAATATAATTTCTGGCTACTATAAATAGAGCAGCAATGAATATGGTTGAGCAAGTGTCTCTGTGATAGGATGAATTGTCCTTTGGTTATATACTCAAAGTGGCATAGCTGGATCTTGAGGTAGATTGAGTCCCATCCTGAGGAACACCACCACACTGATTTCCAATGATGGATGAGTGTTCCCCTTACTCCACATCCTTGCCAGAATCAACTATCATTTGTATTATTAACCTTAGGCATTCTGACATATGTAAGATGAAATCCCCAAGTAATTTTGATTTGTATTTCCTGATGATTACGGATGTTGAACATTTCTTTAAATGTTTCTCAGTCATTTGAATTTTCCTCTTTTGGAAATTTTGTTTAGATCTGCACCCCACTTTTAACTGGGTTATTTATTTTCTTACTATCTAGTTTTTTGAGTTATTTATCTATTTGGATATTAGTCTTCTATCAAATGTGTAGTTGTTTAAAATATTTTCTGATTCTGTAGGCTGCCACTTTGTCCAAATGACAGTGTCCTTTGCCTTAAGGAAGCTTTTCTGTTTCTTAAGGTCCCATTTATTAATTGTTGATCTTATTGATGTTGAATAGCAAGTCTTTTCCTGTGCTGATGAGTTTAAGGCTATCCCCCACTTTCTCTTCTATCAGGTTCAGTGGATCTGGTTTTATGTTGAGGTCTTTGATCCTTTTGAAGTTGAGTTTTGTGCAAGGTGATAAGTATGTATCTATTTGGATTCTTTAGCTGTTCAGTTTCACCAGCACCATTTGTTAAAAATGCTCTCTTTTTTCCAGTGTGCATTTCTGGCTTCTTTATCAAAAATCAGTTGTCCACCAGTGCTGTGGGACGGTCTGTATGTCAAATTGCTCTGATTGGTCAATAAATAAAATACTGGTTGGCCAGTGGCCAGGCAGGAAGTAGGTGGGACAATGAGAGAGGAGAATTCTGGGAAGTGGAAGGCTGAGGCAGAGAGACATCACCAGCCACCGCCATGACCAGCAGCATGTGAAGATGCCGGTAAGCCACCA